TTTTTTTAGCCAGAGACCTATTTGTCTAAGAAAGATTTGCTATCTAAATTTGGCATCGGTATGGATCATTTGGGGCTCAACTGTGTAGTCTAAGACTAAACAGGCCTGTAACCTGGATTGACAGACCTTTGTCATTGCTCGTCTGGCCTCCATCATAATGATGCCATTCATGTGCCTGGGGACACTGCCTGCCTTCCTGCCAAAACCTCTGAGAGACTGACCCACTTTCAAAAAGGGAAAATGAACGTCATCAGTCTTTAGAAAGGGAACAGGCCATGTGGCTGCAGAATCACATCTACTGATTTTACACTACTGGTGTGTTCTTAGACTTTACACCATTGCTGCCCCCTCATCTAATCTAGCATCCACAGACTGGCGTGGGGATTACAGCATCTGACGACTCATTATTCTCATGCCTTATGAAGTGAGAGGTCACAGTTATGCAACTTAAGATAGACCACCAGATGGCAAAGTGGGAATGGAGTCAGCTAAGAGGCATGCTGTTAGTTCATTTAGACTTAATCAGCTTTTTCTTTCATTTTCATTGAATATGGATAGATATTATGTAAGACTTCACTGATAGCTTTTGTGGGTAGATTCAAAGCTGTACTGGCGCTGACCCAGTTCCTACTGGTGTAAGGACGCAGACGGCATTTTACAGCTTCTGACAGATCCCAGTAAAGTGGATCTAATGCACTCCAGCTCCACAACCCAGGGGACGTCTGAAAACACAGGCTGAGAAAGCTTTTACATAAGATGAGCTGTCATGAGAGCACGTTGCTTGGTTGCACTTGGGTTCAGACTAGATATTTTCCCTTTTATTTATTTATGTGAACAACTTGCGCAAGTGAAGAAACTCTCCCACCCAGTCTTTGTTAGCATTTAGAACAAGTCTTTTACATAATCAGATCCAACTTTTAGTCTTTCCTCTAGCCATGTCCCCACCACTCACAACAAACATATCAGATCACAAAATGTCAGGAGCCCAAACACATGGCCAGAATAATCATGCTTTAATAATAAAGATACAATTACATTTGATGTAAACCGCCAGTATTGCACATTGCTCAGGCACATAACAAGTGTCAGTTGCTTAGAAGCATCAACTTATTTCTATGAACAATACAGAGGCTGTACCAAGTAAAGCTCTACACCCAGTGAGGAAAAAAAATATAGATACTTCACAAAAACAGTGAACTCACGTTAAAGCTTTGGCTGAAGGTTTAAGGTTTCTTTTGAACAACAACGCAAAGAGATTTCAGAACCCGTCAAACAGAAACTAACATTCAGTCTTTCACCCTCTAAAAATCTCTCATCCAAACAAAGGTTGTTTTTTTTTTTTTCCAAACACAAGAACAACTAGGTACACCACAGGACAATGATAACACATAACCATCTACCCAGATGATTTGCTTATACATGTAAATGATAAATAAATACATAAATAAACCCTGTCATAAATAATCCCTTTCTGGTCACCACTTATCTTCAACTCATGGCAACTGTACAGTGCAAAGTAACAGTGTGGGAATCAAAATAACTGCATTGATATTATCAAGTGTTGAACAAAACCTAGGTCTTACACGATGCTTAAGTGCTTTTAGGTTAGGTGCTTGCATGCGGGTTGGAAGCCTTTACGCATTCTGCCTGTGAGTGACGTGACGAAGTGAGTGCAATCCCATGATGCAACAGCCCCTGATGAGAGCAGCAATGTTGTACACTGGAGCACTTCCATCTACCCCGTGCCGCGAGTACAGCCAGGCCACTGTGGGCAACACTGGAGCGGCGACTGCAACCAGATCCACCAGGAAGCTGTTGCTCCAGTAACGCTTGTCGACCACATCCAGTCCCGATGAAGGACAAGGTTCTGCCTCAGTAACACCAAAGTCCAGCTCCTCCATAAACCGTCTGCTCTCTGCAGGCTCTGAACAACATACGCTCGAATTAGTGGATGTTTCGGGGGGTTCTGGAAAGATGTTGGCTTGGGAAGGAGTTGAGTTTGGATGAATGGCAGTAGAGGAAGTGGAGGTTGGTATGTCTGGGAATCCCAGAAGACCACTGGGGGCTGATAGAGCTGCATCCTCCACTGTTGCACCGTGGAACTTGAGCAGCTGAAGGAGCAGAGCCTGCAGTTCTGGGGATATGGGCGGTACGTCGGTCTGGATTTCTTTATCTTCTGTGCTTTGCATGGAGAGTGTGCTTGAAGAGATGGGGAGTGTGGTGTTTGGGAGAGGTGGTGGGGATGCAGAAGACTGGTCAATCAACTGTCCCTCTTTTGACTCTGCCCCAGCCCTCAGCTTGCTACTGGAGTCCTGATTGAAATCCACTGCAGTGGACATGAAGACCTGCTCCAAAATGTCCGCTCTGTTGGCCATCTCATCATTCACCAGCAACCCACTGTCTGCCATCGCCTCCGCCCCATGGTCTCCCAGCTCCATACCACCCTCTTCCTCCCCCACCATCTTCTTCCCGCCGCTATCGGGGCTGTCGAAGATAAGGTCCAAGGTGTTTTCGTCTTGGAGGTTGCTGCCACTCTGGGCAAGCTCCATGCTTTGCAGTAGGGACTCCAACTTCCTGTTTTGGATATTGATGTCAATGAAGTACTTCTGTATTCCCTTATCCTTCTCCATGAGACTGCTCTTCATGGTTTCCACCACCTGACGCAGCTGTTTTATCTCTTTACGAGCTTCTTTAAGGGACAGTTGAGCCTCCACCCGGTGGCATTCCTCTTCAATCCAGTCTTCCCTCATCCTGCTAAGCTGGGTCTTAAGCTCCTCAATCTCCGCCTCTCTGATGAATAAGGATGAAAATGTCCAGAATTAATTAAAATGCAATAGTTCACCATTTTGGAATATGTGCTTGATCAATTACTTTTAAGCTAGATGAAAAGATAAATGCCAATATGTCAAAAATGAAGTTAAAGCCAAAAACCGAAAAAGCTGGAATAGCTTTGCCCAAAGGTAACCAATCTGCCTCGTTTGTTTTTGAGTTCAGTCATACTGAACGTTGTTGTTTAATTACAACTTCTGTCATGTTTTTAATCGTTATAGCTCCCACAGTTGCTATTTCATGCCTGCTTTTCCCCCCATTACACATACAGGTAATTTGTACTGTCAAAATCGATAACATGTTATATCTGAAATGTAATTAGAACTTGTTTTTATTATTTCCCCCTGTTCCCAGTCTTTACACTAAGCTAAGCTTACTGGTTGCTAGCTGTAGCTTCACTTAACACATACGAGTGGCATTAATCTTCTCATTTAGCTCGTAGCTAGAAAGCAAAGAAGTATTGAACTTACAATATGTCAAACTATATTTCAAAAGGTACCAAGTGTAGCATATAAATCATGATACATGTATTTTAAAGGAGCCTGGGCTATGCATGGTGAAAATTTGTTCAAAAAAACAACTCTAGCATCAGTCTGCTCTTTTTATAAATCTTACATAATAGCCATTGCCCCATGGGTTTACACTTCACAAGATGTTTACGGGTGAGCAGAGATGTTGCATGCAGGCATTACATCACAACCGCTGCATCACGCTTTCCCCTGATACGTCCACTATCATCCTGTCATAAAACCACAATAAGCCAGAAATGCAATCGCAGGAGCTACTGTGCTGCTAACCTGTCATGGACTCTGTTCTCAGACTCCAACAGTTTGGTCCTCAGGTGTCTTATGGTCACCTCCTTCTGCTGCAGAGGGGTGAGGTACTGCTCGGGATTTGGGGGCCTGATGCCATGATTGTCTCCACACGAGTGGTAGCGGCCCAGGTTCGCTCTTCTGTTGGGAAGAGATACAAAGATGTTGATGAAAGGCCAGGGAGGATGTTGGTGCATGACCAAGGAGGATGTTGGTGAAAGACCAAGGTCACCCCTCTAGACCTGATTATCCATCTTTCCTTTAACTAAACATTATAAAACTACAGCAGAAAACAAACCAAACTGACATTTAAAAGCAAAATCGCTCTCTACAGAAGGTAATTAGTCTGGCTGAGAGAGTGCTGTCAGGGCAGATACTCCCTGAAGCCTGGAATTACTGTCTGACACAGGATTACTGGCATGCAGACTAGAGACTGCAAAACCCTAAAATGCTGGTTTATCTGAATACAAGCAGAGCTAGCAAAGAAAGAAATTACCTTACTAGAATAAACCCCTAATCTACAGTTAATTGCATTAGCATTCAGATGTTCTCTGCATGTCCTATGATCAGTGTTTTATCATCCTCAAAGAGTCCTGATAAAAGGATTCCTGTTTTGTTTTTTGTGTTTTTTTTTGTGTAGAGGATGAGTGGGTGGATTTGGACAATATGCAAAGCAGTATGTAAGCCCCTTTCTTCCACTAGCACAATATCCTAGCAACCTGAGATGCTTGAGGCTTTGATGCAAACGCTCTGCATCCCTGCCAGAAATAGAAACAGCCCAGAAGAAGGTAGCATGTGAGAGGAAAAGATGTCACATGACACCTCACCAGGCGGAGGAAAGCTGACAAACGGCAGGTCTTAAAGTGACAGGGATGGAGAATTATAATGCATTCATGGCCACTGCAAACATGTAAAACAGGGCAGATTTTGCTACTGCATTAAAAACTCAAAGAGTGTAGGTTGAATGTCTGCCATTTATTCTGCTGAGAGAGGATTTTTAGGTTGAATCCTACACAGGGCTGAGCTGCCAACAAACAAGATGCCAAAGTAAACCTTTAGAGTAATATGCAGCCTGAAGCCCTCTGTCAAAATTTCATGGTGGTCCCAAACACATCACAGCTTTGGGCTATGCAGTTCTGCTAGTTTGAAAAATGTATGACCCTCTTCTCTCCTCCAAACCAAGGTGCATTCACTCCAGTTACAAATCGGCTTCAGTCAGTAGGGTCACTGTCTGGGTACCATATTCAGACATTTGCTATAATAAATCCTCATTAATCCCACCCGCAGCCAAATCATGACCGATATAATCCCAGCCAGCTGCAATAGAGGAAATGATAAAACAGTCTGAGCTTAATCCAGCCACCCACTTACTCATGGGCATGCTGCACAATGCCCGAGCCACAGTCCAAATCTCTCTACAAAATCTACTTGCTTCTCCCTCTAACAGAGAAAGTTCAATTTGTGGAGATAAAAAAAAAAAAAGAATCCAAGCTGAGCGCTGTAGAAAAACATGGCCAAGAGGTCACAACAACTGATCAGAGTATATTCCTTAAACATTGCTGTCCTTGTTCTTCATGATCATGAATAAAGCATGACATTTGAGTACCTGGAGGTTGGGCTGGAGTTGCAGCTGCTGTTGGTGGAGGAGGCAGCTCTGGGGGGAGTCCTGTAGGGAGCGTAGAGCTCTGCATCGCGGTTGGTTGTTGGGCATCCAGCTGGTTTAAACACTGGGAGCGATCGTATGTGACTGCCGCGACTTAGTAAAAGATAGTTTTTGTCAAAAGAAACACAAATAATTTAAAGATTAATTACAAAAATGGAATAAACAAGAAGCCATTCACTCTCTTGTTAGTTCTCGTGTCATTTAAAGCCAAATGCTAGGCTTAAAATGTCCTTTTGAAAGGCCAGGTGGAACAAATACATGCATTAAACATTATACCTGCGTGACGGAGCTTTCTTTCCAGTTGAATTGGACGTGAGGTTGTCCCTGGTCTTTAGGCTGCCTGTGCTGCTGGAAGAGCTGAAGTCTGCCTCGCTACCTGCAGGGACAAGCAGCAGTGTGTTAGCATGCTAGCAGGCCCAAATGAGGACTAAGAAGGATTTTAAAAGATAATAAGACGCAATGTTCCTCTTTAAATGAAAAGTTGAAATAATAAAAATAAATAAAATGCACTCAAACATCCAGGGGGTTTGCTTTTACAACATGTGTGATATTAACTTAAAGTAGCTAATGTTGGCTGTTGCTAGCCAAACTTAGCATCTTGACTAAGTCTTTTCTACAACTCTGCTGCTACTCTCACCACATGTATAGCATGATAGCTAAACATTTCAATTGTTTTAGTCCAAAACTAAAATCCATAGTAAACCTTTTGGTGTCAATTAGGAAACTAATTTGTCATGACCTGTTTGTCGTCCCATTCCACTCACTCCTCGCGCCTGCTAGTCTGAAAAACGTAGTAGTCTGACAGCCCTAGAAAGGCACACTAACTGTATATCTGGCAAAAAAAAAACTGAGTTACAGTCTGTGTCTAACTTTCTCAAATTCCACTATACTACATTAAAAAAAAAAGATATTATATCAAATAAACATTCAGTTTCACCACACAGCTAACATTTAAAGCTATATCAAGTTGAAGGATGTGTGCTACTTAGCCACAGCTAGCTAGCTAATATTAAGTTGTTGACAGGGGGATCGCCGTGCCGTGGCCTGAGTGTGAATGTTTGGACCCCAGACAAACTACAGTAAGGAACTGGAGTTGCAGTCACTTTTCTGGCCAAACTTTTTTGCAGAACAATTTTTCTACAACCCATACAGATGGATTTTAACTGTGCCAAACCACATAAATGGCAACAAAGAAATTTTGACCAAGCAAAAAACCAAACAAAAAAAAACAAACATTTTTGTCAATTTAGACATTTTATATTATTGTCACTGAAAAGTGTATATCCAGTATAAATATATCTCTCTTTTATATGTAAATCAATCTGTTTGTACATGTTTTTATTAGTCTAAGAGTGTTTGATTTAGGTTTAGCTGTAGGCTTATGTAAAGCTCTTTTACAGACTTTTAAAGACTGTAGGCATTAAATGAGCTCTGAAAAAAGTGGTACATAACCTCCTGCTGAACAAGATCCAAACAGAAGAACAAGCAGAACAAAAGGGTGCATTGGCAGCATGTGATGTCTCAACTAGATGGCTGAGCAGAACAAGAACACTTCTGACATAAGAGGCCTACTTTGCTTATGTAATTTAAATCATAATTATTTTTTAAAAGCTTTGTCAGCAATTAAAAAAAGCTGTACTTTAGCAACCATTCCACATTTTTAATTAATTGAGGGTTACATAAAACATGTATTATTTCTTATGAGGTCCCATCTTCTTCTACATGACAGTCTTATCTTCACAGGCAAATAATCGTGAGCGACCAAAATAAACATTTGACAATTTACTAGTTCTCTAAGAGAAGAGACATTGTGCCACCTTAACGTGAATGATGGTCTCAGAATGGCCATCCCTATGGAAACTGAATGGCTCTGCCAATGATAGTTGATTTTACACAGCATGTAATTTGTAACTTCAAAATTTTGATCACCTGCAAATACTATATTGGCAGCTTTCATGAAACTCAGTAGAGAGGTAGAATTGACTGGGCCTTATCGGAGAATTACGCTCTGCGGATGCACTTTAAGGCAAACTTGTTATTTCACATTTTAAAAAAAATAAGATCTCGCCTTTGATTCCAGTGAATTATGTTGATTGAATTTTGATTGGGTTTTTTTTTTTTTTTTTTAATTGTCAATATAAATCTTTATAGCTCCTGGTCAGACAGGCAAAGGCCAAACACAGGGTTCTTTTAAATGGTAGACTGCAAATAATAATCACGCTCAAGTCCACTTTCTTAAACAAACTGGTTAAAATATGTACGAGTATGTGTGGATTTGAAAGATATTGGAATGTTTCTGGTTTGGATCAAATAATTAGCCCAAAGATATCTTTAAAAAAAACAAAAAAAAAAGCAATAAAAGTAGTTTTACAGTTTGCCTTCCATCAACAAAATGCCTCATCCTGTTCCACTGAGATCTACTGCAAAATAAATAAAAAATCTAACCACTGACATCCACAATAAGCCAGTAACCAATCCAGACCAGTCTTTATGGGTAAGGCAATCTACACAAATGTAGCACAACAGACACTTCATATGGTGTCTGTCTTCAGTTAGCCTGATTACTGAAGCAGAGAAAAGCTCAAATATTGTGTTGAAATGATTGAAGACCCAATTCAAAGCCATACCTGAGTAGCATCTTTTCCCATCAAACAAAACCATAGTACTGTATCCAGTGATGACCGTGACGAACAAAATAGCTCAGAACTAAGTGACCCTCTACCACTTGGTGAGTGGACTGAGTGTCTGTGTACTTCCAATCAGTGTAGTAACCTCCTGCTAATCAGTCTAATTGGTTAAGCTCCCATGTCTCTTCCTCAACCAATCAGCTTCTTCACTCACTGTGACTCATAATCAAGGAGTTTTTCCCTCCATTTCCAGAGATAAAGAGAGGAAATGTAATCTTGGGATTAAGACCGCACTGTTTCTGATACATGTTAACAGAGCACAGATGCACAGATGACACTTCACTCCTGTTATTAGTCTCCTTTTAGGCGAGCAGCTGTGACCCTGCCAGTGTTTGTTCATGCCTGGGAATCTGTTAGCTGTTGACATGTGACAAATGCACTGTTATTGTACTTTGGTCTTTGGGGAACTACTGGCATGCACAAGTAGATACGCTGGATATGCAGTGTGTTGTATAAAAATCTATGTGCGCAAAAAAAAAAAGAGAAAAAGATTCATGATGATTCAAATGTAGATACAGAATCAGATCTTAGTAGAGCAGCCCTACGGTGGATATTTCCAGATTTAAAACTCTCTTTTTATATTTCCTGAACAAAACAATTTGTGGTATTTTTATCTATATCTCTGTGTTTTCCTTTACCTCTGGCCTTCATTGCCGACCTCAGCTCCCTCTTGTGCCTCTGCGCGCTCCGGCCCTCGCCGCTCCACTCGGCCATCACCCTGACCCTCTTCACTTTGGTCTTGCGCTCGGGAAGTATGGGCGATCCGTGGGCACTCTGCTCTGAGCCTGACGGGGTTTTGGAGGGGGACACAGACTGACTAGTGGGGCAGCCGGTGTCATCTATTGTAGACAGGCACACAGACAGTAATAGCCAAGAACAGGCAGCGCAGGGCAGGCAGCGAACACAAGCAGTCAATCAGAGCTCAAGGTTCAGTCTGGGGTGTTTTCTAACTGACAGCACAACAGCTCTTCACAGTGGCTCGGCGCTTCCATAAAGATGCTGTCAAGTGGTTTTTGTGTTCACACTTTTCGCAATATCGTGTTTGGTCTGTTAACAGAGGCCGATGTGGGTGAATATAAAAGATATATATATATGTGTGCATTTTCTGTGAGAGCTTGCAAAATCCAAAGTAAAATAAGCAAAATCAAAGACTTAAATGTTTTCATCACACTAATATTATAGATTTTTTTGTATAGCAGCCATTGTGGTAAAATCTGGCACCTGGCAGCCTGTAAATGGATGATTGTTCACAGTATCGGAGGTTTATACGAGATATAAACTCAGCAGTCCTTGGACTGGAACTGAGCTTCTTACCAGAGCAAAAACTGTTGGTGCTGATGGTCCTCTTGGAGTGGTCGGAGCTCATGTCGCACTCCTTGCCCTCCTCCTCGGAAAATGGCGAATCAGACAAAGGCGATCCTTTGTCTTTTGGTCGGAAAGGATGGAGGACCAAACGTGGGATGCGGCTGCGGGGGCTTCCTTTCTCTGGAGATTTCTTTTCCTGCTCAAAACGATATTTGTCACAGGAGGAGGCAAGGATGTAGTGTTGTGAAACATACCTAAACTTATATTGACAAAAGATTTAGTTCTATCCATATCTGTGGTTGGTTGAGTTACGATGACAAGTGCAAAGTCACAGTACCCCAATGTTTACCTTTACCACATTGCTGCAAAAAAAAACAGCCTCTTAAATATGATATGAGCATTCAGCATCCAGAAATCTACTTCCATTGACCAGCAGCAATGATAGGACTCACCTCATATTCTTGGAACGGTCCCATTGTGCTTCACAGCGTTCTCCCCTAATTAGTGCACAAGAAGAATAAAATCAGGTGAGTCACTACTCCCCGTGTACGGGGCAGCATTTTGACGTGGCACTCAGGCCCTTAACACACAAGAGCCCTCTGTTTGAACTCTGTTACGCCTCTAGATCCCACCCACCACACACACACACACACACTGCCTGGTACAGATGGCACAAGAAGCCCAGAGCCAGCCTGAATTTATGACCTTATGGAATAAAAATGGCAAAAATAAACAGCAAGCTGCCCTTTAAAACAGGATTTGTAAGTCTTTAAATAATCAAATAGAGCCAATGAATTAAACAGCAGTGACAAATCAAACAGCCTGGTTGGAATGAAAGAAGCTCTGCAGGGCAACTATTGCATAAACAGAAACATTGACATGAAAAGTGTGCGAGATGAAAGCTCAGGGGACATAGGTTTTTACAAATCATCCTCTGAGGATCATATACACAAACCTCACTACTGGTACTCCAGGACAAGTCAGAGGATGCATCATCTGGGAATAATAAATGGCTGTATAAAAATCGATAGCATCTGACAAGTTAACGTGGAAAGGTCAGAAAATTAATGAACTCATTAGAATTTATCATTAGCCTCTATATTGTCATCTTAGCAATGTAGCCGATATTTGGGCTTTTTTTTTTTTCCACACTCTGACAGTTTATTGTTAGCCAGAAGAAACATCATGGGATTTATCCCCCGGGGAACATGAATACCTGTACACAACTGCAGGGCATCCATCCATGACTGGCTGCTTACATAAGTACTAACTGGTACCAAGTGCTTCCAACATAATGTTTTGTTGTCATCTTGACTTGTCAAATCTGCTGGTCAGTGCTGTCTGAAAATGTCTTTGCACAACTTATTTGGATGAACCCAGAAACTTTGTCAAAATGGCTCCCAAAAGAAAATAAAGGATGAGAAGGAGAAAAAAATTGGGATGGATAAAGGTATGTGACATTTGAATCTCATTGAGTCAATCAGACAGTTATATTTTGAACAACTTATACAGAACATGTCCACGGTTCATTTTAACCTGGAGCTGGCTAAAAAATAATAATAATAATAATAATAATGCATAATTAGAGCATTTTTAAAGCCATGCTTTAATTGTGAATGAATTAAACAGAACAAAGTCACAATGTTTTTAAGCTGGCAAGCTGGTTACAAAGTGATGAATGCATATATCATTCATTTTTAGCTCAAATGTTTCTCAACTGAGCAAACTTGATTTGTTGCGTTTTGTATGCCATAACATTAGCAGAATTGCAATTATCATACATAATTTATAAAGTGTAGCTTTGAAAGTTTGTTGCTAATATAGTTTGAATAAGTGGACTTATTAATTTTTAATACAAATAGTTTTCAAATAAGAGATACGCTGTTAATTCATTTGTCCGTCTCTCTTGTGTGTTTGTATGTGTTTTGGTGGATTTTTTGAAGCGTTTCAAGGCCACAAAAAAACTCCTTTGGGGCCTCAAAAAAGCCAAACACCAGTCTTAAATCCATCCAGTTGTGAAAATATTTGAGCCTGAGCCAGAGCAGTAGACCATCAAACCAAACCAACACACAAACATCGCTGTGCTGCTTGTGTGGGTGAGAACAGAAAAAAAGCAAGTATATGATAAGAATAGATTTTAAATAACTCAATTAACTAAACAGTTGGTGGTTTTCAAAGAAGTACAAAGATCAGAGTCTGCACAGATACAGCTATAAAGAAAAAAAAGACAGATAATATACTTTTTATGTATGTATTTTTCATCAAAGTCATCCCAGATTAAGACGATCAGATACGAGGCACAGTAATACTGCAGATAAGACCTCACTGACTCTCGTCACCAGCTGTTTGTGCCAAAATTGCGGGGCTGCCTGCCAAAAGCTACAAAATGCTTCAATCAGTGAGACAGAATGTATGATGGAACCAGATTATAGTTTTCTTTTTTCTTTCTTTTTTTTTTTTTTTTTTAAGTGATTCAAGTAGAAACCAAAACAGAAAGAAACTCTGACATAACACTGAACTTTTCATTTTGTCCATGCACATTTAAACAAGGAAGATGCATTTTTTATTGATGCTTTAGAGCTAAATAATGCAGCTCTTCGTTTATGCTTGAATAAACTTTGTACAATCACTTCACTTCCTCTCACTTGTTGATTGCCTCTCAGCCCCTTCGCCTAAGGGGGCCAGTTGCATAAGTGGATACACGTCTTTCTGGTTTTTTTTTTTCGCATTAGGAATGATGTAATTGACTTCAGGCCTATGTACGACTGTTACATCTTCCCTTTCTACGTCTACCTTTTCTTTGTATTTTCTGCTTAAGATGCATGTCAATCCTATCTTTATGTGCTGACCTCCACAAACAATCCTCCATCCATACCAGACCGACATCACCCACTTGATGACCTAATATCATGACCTAATATCCCTTTACGAACAGCTTAGACTTGTGCAAAATCACATTTTTTTTTCAAACCACCAAGGCCCAAAGAGCACTACTAAAATAGACCAGAGAGGTGTGGGAATCAAACTCTACCTCCTTTTTGTCTGACTCAAAAATAGATTCCGAGTTGCCTGCACCTCCTTGGCAACGCTTTCACTTTTGATTTCAGACATCAACAGTATGGTCACATTTGTATCAGCACACAGCAGCCTGGCACGCTAGCATGGCAGAGTCAGATTAAAGGCACCAAGCAGGGCCGAGCTAGCGCGGCCGTGCCCTAGCAACAGTCATAGCAACCGGGCGAGAATGCTGAACGAAAAAAATTCAAGCTAGATGGAAGCAATTATGTATGAAACTGCACAGAATGTAGGCTTCTGCTGCTCATCCTGAGAGGCTGTCCTTCACTGAGAGAATATCTAGAGTGTGCTGAGGTGATGTGGGGGTGTTACCATTCAGCTGTACAGTGAGTGTTTTTCTCTCAGACTGAATGAACATTCTGTCCTTGAGCCAGCACGGGTACGTTACGGAGCAGCACATACTTGACTTAGCTTATGATTATAGTATAGATATAGTTTTCAGTGTGTTTTTTTTGTGTACTCATTAACAACAGATTTTTTTTTTTAACCTGAAACAGAAAAAACAACTAAAACTGAAGAAAACAGGGGCAAACCATGGAGACAGGATAAATGTAGATGATGAAATGAAATAGGAGCTGAGCAGAGAGGATGAGATGTGCGATTATTCAATAAATCTGGGTGTGGTGCGAGAGGAGAGAGGGATGTGTAGGCTTTTAGGGATGGCAGTGCCAGCCTGTCTGACAGTCCGTCGATTCCCTGCTTAGGTGCTGACTGGAATAGCTCAACAAATACTGGACATGTTCCCCTAAAATTGACACTCACTTTGGTGATCCTCTGCTCTGTTGTGAGGTTGAGATTTTCAGATACTTTGCATTATGTTGACTGACATTCCCATCATCACCCCCAGCTGTACTTAACACTGCTGTGTTTTGTGCTAATTAGGTCATATTAGCAGATACTATTTTAAAATGCTTTGGCAGCCTTATCCTTCATCTCACGTGTCATCATATACAAAAAAAATAAAAAAAAATAAGAGGAGATCATCTATAATGCACAGCATTCTGAATCATCTCTATTGAATCATCTTGTGTTATTGGTTTCGGCGCCAGGATAAAGTAATATGCTGATGGTTGCTGTCAGCTGGCAAACTGAGACTCTGAGAGATGTTTGGACACAGATTCCTGCCACATGCGCCCGATTTGATTTATTCATCTGAACTGCAGCCACGCTTCGCCTGCCTTTATTGTGTTTTCACTTGCACCTTTCCTGAACTGGAGCCCCAAACGTAGGATCATGCGTTTGATCCTCTGCTTGGCTCCAGACAGAGTTGATTGGCTACCTGCTGAGTAAAAGGCTAAGCATTATCTAAGTTGCAAACACAGGGTTTTCAGCTCTCTTAATCCACAAACGCTCAAACTGCCTGCACACACGATCCACAGCCACTCGTATCCCGACGTAAACTCAGAGGAAGGGCGTTGATTCTGCCAGGAGATGTAGTGGGAAAGGAAGACTTCTACAAGCTGTCAGTGGGATACTGCTAAATAAGTCTTTAAGCTTCCACTTGAGCTATTTCCCTTCATCCAGATGGTGCACTTTTATAAACAGCATGGAGTGGGCGTCAATAATAATTCCCTTAATCCCTCCCAGAGTATGTGCTTTATAATGTTCATCATACACACGGATTAATGTGAAGCTGTTTGTTGCATTCTGACATTCACCTCATGATGTCGTCAGTGCATTTGCTCTGCTGACGTCTTTATTTGTGGAGTTAGGTTGTATGATTTCAGTGAAGATAAACACTGATAGCCACAGAGTATTGTACATCCTGAGCTTCTGTTCGTGTCCATACCGCTCTATCTCCTATTATCTGCTGGGCAGGAAATAACTGTACACTGGAAATGGAAAGCTCTGATTCTCTTCTGAGTTATTTCCAATATTTATTTTGAGCTCATTGCCATGAAACAGAGTGCATCATCACTGCATGATGTCATGACTACAGCATACTGTCTTTCACTTTCAGAACGAAGCTTTCTGAAACCAAAACCAGGTTTTATTAAATAATTTTCTGAAAGTACAGAAAATATGTCGAAAAATTAACTATGATAGTTTCTATTAGAAATACTGCTTTAAATATTTACATGGTAAATGTATCTTTTTCCAGTGCTGGTAACACCCTTAAAATTAATATATAAAAAAAGAAGATATTTTTTTAAAGAATTTCAGACACTGAAGTCACCACACAGATCCAGTGTCCCAGTGATGGAACCCTGAATGCCCTCCCATGTGTTTACAAGCCTCCCTTTGTTTTCCACATCTAACTTCAGTTCCATTTTATGATCAATAAAATAAAATCCTATGAGAAAATATCCCCGAACAGTGACAGCAGCTCTCCTCACGCTGCCATATAATAGCTTTATTTACATTGTTGTCATGTTGTATGATTAAGAAATAGGGGTTTGTTTGGTTTCATGTGGCGCCCCCACAGTTCCAGGCAATGTTTTCGTGAGATGCCTCAAGAACAACATGCGACAGAATACATGTAAACATCCAACTTCAAACCTGGCTGGATCTCACCGACCAGCACCAAAAACATACACGATCAATGCGCATATTTAGATACGTGTTAAAGAAAACATGAAAGACTCGATCCTGAACTTGTAAACAGCGCATCCCCGCCCGCTCCCATTCCCAGAATAGTTTCAATCGTTTTTTAGGACAAATTGTTGTATATTTTATGATTTTTTTTCTTTTTTAAATGTAAGGATAATAACATGAAAAATGCACCTGCCTGGATGCTTGATGGTGCTTTCTCTCAGAAGGATGCGCGTCAGCTGGTGAAGCACAAAGGGTCGCTCCTGCGCTGCTGGTGCCAGCCTGCGCTCCGCTGTGTGGATGTGAGGAGAGCTGAGTGCAGACTGACGACACACACCATCGGGGGGGCAGAAGAGGGACCACTGGCAGCCTGCACAATGTGTCCTCCATTCCAAGTGTGTTACATAACGCGAGGGGCGTTACTTAATCACTGGTGCCCCGAAATCATATAGGAAACTGTATACACGCGTAATATTGGTGATCGATTCCGATACTGGCACTGTAATGTTTAGAAATCGAGACATTTTTTTTCCTGCGTATTCCATCAAATGCAGTCATTTTACACACATATGCATTCTTATACTCATAAGTGCACATTTTAATATACTATAAGGCTGCAGCAAACCGCCCAAACGGACTCTGTTTACCCAGAATCCAAAATATTTCGGTCAGTGATGCGCACAGATTTCTGCTCATGTCTCCAGCTGACATCCACAACATGACATACAGACCTGTATGTTCAACACATGGCCTATTTTGATGCAGATGCAGTTAAATACAGTCTGCAGAGTCAGAACCAGCGTGACTGTTGGCTCTCTATGGTGCTGAATGCAAAATCAGTGCTTTAAATCCCACCTAGCCCAATAACATTTACAGATTCTTAAAAAAAGACATTTGACTGAAACCAGACTGACAGTAGCCGCATCACGTAAGAGTAAAATACTACCTTTCAGCTCTATAAAAATGACCTGATTGTGTCATATGTCCTGGGTTGCATGGATTTTCAGCATTTACATGATTCTGGGGAAACACTGGACACTGACTAAGATAACAGCATGTGACCTATCAGCAGCAGTGTTTTGTGTCACTGAGGCCCTCTGCTGGAACAGTGAGATACTGGGCTTCACTGAGCAGTAGCTCAGTAAAACTACAGGGACTGTCATTAAAATCCTTTTTATTTGTTGCACAAGTTCTTTTATGTGCCCATCTGAATTCACTGTTAAGGACATGTTTGACGAAGGACAGTTTAACATGTCATGACGATAAAAAATAGCAATATTAATTATGGATGAACTCCATGTAGCTGCATCCGTTTCCCGGCTGACTCACTGCTAAAATGTTATGCTTCACTGGGACTTACTTTGAATTAAGCAGAGCCATGAATGCTGTGAATGCTGTCGGTAACACCTCACTTTTCCTGCTGTGGCAAGTCACTTTCTTCTGGAAAAAAAGGACGTAGAAAACATTTTAAATTTATTTATTTATTTAAATCCTATATGCACGTCAACTGAAGAAATCTATTTTTCTCCATGTAGCAAAGCTTGTGTGACTTGTAGGCAAAATTCACCACATGACAATGACAGGAAGTGAAATCTATTTACTTAAAAAATAAAAAATGTTTTACACACTGATAGAAGTGTCTGACACAGTGGACATCCTTGTTTCACTGTGCAGTGGGTCCAGCATTATCCAGCTGTACAGGAGTTACTCAGCGCTGTTCAGACAGCGGCACCTCTGTCAACTGATATGAAGGACCTAACAAGTTGTGATTCCGTCTCACAGACATGCAGCTACTTGAACTCTCATGGAAGTTTGTTTATTGTGATGCCATTTCAATCAGCATCATTCAGGTGTGAAGACTACAAGTTTGAAAGTGAAAAAAGAGCTCACTATGCAGCTGCAGCTCACTTTCTGTCTCTGCAGGAGGTTTGAGGCTACATGAGCTGACAAGCAACACACCTGAATTTGCATGCAAACTGTCCTTGGTCTAAGTTGTATTGTGGGTAATGTAGGCTCCATTGTATTTGAATTGAAGAGGAATGCATGGAATAATACAATAAAGTAGTCCATCCAATCCATTATTTATACACCACTCATTTGGGTTGCGGGGGGCTGGAGCCTATCCCAGCTGACTCAGGGCAAAGGCAAAATAGAATAGTGTGCAACAAAATTAAGCACCAGTTCTATCAATGCATGAAGAAATGTGCAAATATGAAATAGAAAAATACTGTAGAAAGAATAGTATGTACAAGTGTAACCTATGAAAATAGTGATATAGCTTATTGTTGACACAATTACTTATTTGCAGTAATACGAATTGCATAAACTTGTTTGCACTTTTGGATTTTGCACATTGCTGAATATATACAAAAATGTCATGGCTTAAAGTAGTGCAAAAAGTACATACAAAAGGCATCTGAATGTAAACATACACACAGATTCACTATAGAAGCCGCATATGAGAAAGAGGGGTATAAAGTAGACTCCATTTTTCCCCCCTCTAAAATGTCTTCTTCTATCTAAAATAAAACTTATAAGACTCGAGTTCTTCAGAAATATTTTTGCGAGTAAAGATAAGCAGGAGCTCTGCAGAATTCTTAGTAATTGTATTGACAGAAGGCCCTGCACATAAACATCAAAGGCTACAAGACTGCATTTATTAAAGAAAAAAAAAAAGTTGTATTGAGCTTTTTGTGCCTTCAGAGGAACCAAAAAGAAGAGAGTTTACTGCATGGTTGGGCTTGTAAGGCAATGTGTTAATTGATTATAATGTTTCTCAGGCTCTACATAGTGGGGGTCCATGGCCCTTTCTAGCTGGTCTACTTGTGATTCTTTTTCAGCCAGTAAAAATGAGATAACCTGTGATTTAGCATGTATTTATGCAGTTTTTGCAATGTGTTGAATGAAATACCAGCACCTTAAACTGGATTATAACTGGTGTAAGGGATTTTTGGTCACAAGTGAGCTTTGCTGCACTTGTTAAACTACTGGACTTCAAGTGTACGATTTTCACAAGGTGACATGCAGTCATAAGGTTTTACTATATTATCTCATCATGTTTTGTAAAGCTACATTATTTTCATCTGGTGTGTATTTTTTAATACAAGAAAAAACACTTTAAAATAGCGCAGTCTGTCAATATTATACTATGAAGCCTTTGTGTATTCTATGAAAATACTCTCCTCTGTGTTTGTCCTAAGTTGTGAGATGACTAGCTGTACATTCAAATGCTGTACCACTTTAGAACGGGGTCACAGACATTTCTGAGAACACACTGGTTTTAAAACTGTCTTCTGTTGTTTTAGGATAATATCACTTTCACACCAAAAAAATAATAATAATATCAAAGGAAAGGGCTATAATGTACAATTCCTGAACAAACAGAGACAATTCATTTGTTTTGCCTTTTTGTTTGAGACTCTTTTTGCATCATTTGATCAGAGCAAATATTGAAGTTGAATAGATGAAGTGAACTTTTCATCTTTAAATGAAATGTGTTCAGTCTGTTATCAGAGATCCTCAGCTGCTGCTTCTATGCAACTGAAGTCAATTACCATTGCAAAGGTTAACTTGGCACAGACACCTACACTGTGCCCTCTAGTGTTTAAAGTAATCATTACATTTACAGTATTGAATCGAGATATGAGGAGGTCATACAGTTTACCTTAACTTTGATCTGTGCTGTCTGATTTACATCTTTCGGAGCTGTGACTAACAGTACCCAAAGGGGCATTTTATTTTGGGGGATCACTCTTGGAGTTATCCAGGTCTGTTCCTCATCTGCTTTCTCTTCCTGTTTCCTGTTTTCTGATTGGGGCTGTTCCTCGTTCCACAAATCACTCCAGTATTTAGAAAACACTTCATATTTCCTGGACATGCATAAACTCATTACATAGCTAAAAGACAACATAGAACACAAGACACTACAGACATACAGATTTATATCATGTCAGTAACCGGCACTAATACTTGTCATACTTTGATAAAGATCAGCCGCCGATGCTTTTGATGTTTATCTAACAACTAATGAAATTTCACTGTATGCAGCAGCAGAAGCAAACTGGCAAATGAAGCCCTCTTTAATCAAATGTTTGATCGAGCCACATGTTTTCTTCTGTCGTCTGTTTGTTCTCACTCTACAATATGTGTGAATGAATCATCCTCCTCACGGTGAAGCAGGTGACTGACTGCGGTTATATCCACTCAGAGCTGGTCATAAAAAATCTGGCAGAGACACAGTGGAGCCGGCATTCATGTGTCATTTTGTTTACTCCTTTAAGATGAGGGAGTAATAATTGAGTAGACTGCTTTATGTGCTTTTACTATTTCTCTAGAAACAGGGTGTGTGGCTCACCCTTTGTTTGATCTGGGTGCGAAATCACTGTGGCACGTTGCTTTCTGTTTGACGGAACTTGGCATTGAAAATAAGATTTGGCACTGAACAAGAAAACATTGTAATCGAAATATTTGTTATCACACAACTGAAGGCTCCCTAATATGCAAATTATTTGTGAATCACACATTTCTCATCCCTCCCTTTAAACTCTTCCCCTTCAGGTCCAGACAAAAACAGAAAGTTGGAGCTGAAACAGACTACACAACAAAAATACTGACATTGAAAAAAAACAACGAAAAAAAAGTTTACCGAAAAACAAACATAAAGACAAAAATCTGAAAATTGTCATTGAAAATCAAATCAAAATACAAAAACATATCAAAAATAATGCCTATAAATGTTATTTAATTACAAATATTTCAATTCTGATGTTTGTTTTTTTTTCAATGCGAAATTTTATTTTCAATGACAAACTACACTGTCTCTGTTGTTTTGGCTCCATATTTCCTTTGAATACGAAGTGGCCTCCGCTGTATTTTGCTTTAGTTTTAAATTGTCATAATCTGAGAAGAATGAAAGAAATCTAATTTAACAAGGCTGAACACCCCCCCTTATTACATTCTCTATTATATATTTTTCCTCATGTCCCCCACAGTCCCAGATAGATGAGTCAGATGAGCAGCAGGAGCCAGCATATCACCGCTGTTATCAAGTGGACACCTGACTTGTCTTGACTGCTTCATCTGACATTTCCTTTACTGTTTTTCACAGATTCTGTCTAGATAGTTGATCGTGCTCCAAACCCTCTACATCCTACATCTATTGGACAAACCTTAATTTTCCAACCTCAGGTGTCCTGTTTCTGCTGTGAACGCTGTATATCTAAGTTTTTTTTCTTTTATACGTCTCCTCCACTGAGTCGTCCCAGAGC